GAACTATGACCATGCACTGACAGAATGTCTCTCTAAACTTCTATCTTCATTTGTTTATAAGTCTGCTAGCACAAGGCACTGGATATCCTCAACTCATGCTGCTAAACACAACAGAAGCTGAAGTGCTTCCTGAAGGCCCAGTTTGTTCTATTACATACATGCATTATTTTCCTTAGCAACTTTGTATTCATACAAAGTATATGCACTTTTTATTTTAACCATTCTGCCTTTGTGATATATATAAAAAAGTGGTTTTCCACAGTGCAGTGGTGGTTGCCACCTGGAATCCTCATCAGCCTACACAGTTTTATAACCTAGTTATTTCTTATATATGCATGTTAAATTTCACTGGTTACAAAGAGCATATTAATGCTAATATTGTAATGGTAAATTTTTTCATCATTTTCTGTAGAATTTGCCTTAACAGCCTTTCAGTTTTGCTATGAATTAGTACATATGGTAGTACATGAAGTACATACCTCATCTGTAAAGCAGTCCCTATTTATCCTTGATATAACTAGGGAATAGTGCCCAGCTGATGCAATCATATCTATACATTATTGAATTCACCAAAATAAACAGAGAGAAAACACTTACTTTGCACATTCTTATGACTTAGGTGCAAATCCTGGAGTGTATTATAAACTGGTCTTTACAACCTATGAACAGATACTATAAGTCAGAGGGAAATAGGAACTCCCTAGGGATGCTGTCCAAAAAAAGAAAAGTAGCCCCTGTGGAGTCACTCCCCCTAAGTCATGCTGCTGCTGCTGCTGAAAATATGCAATGAATCCTTCTGCAGTTGGAATTTCAGATGTCATATTCCCTTACAGAATGTTGTCTAATTATTTTATTATGCATAATAAATGTAAAATATTTATTTTAGCTTACATAATTATATTAAAAATGTATGCTATTTATTCACAGTCTTGTAAGACATCCTTCACAAGTCATATACCTTATAGAAAGGAATGAATGCTGTTTTGCTGGCCTGGCTGTTTGTTTTCTATACCTTCTTATCTATGTCTGAGCAACTACCCTGGATATTGCCCTCCATTCCTTTGCTTCCCCTCACCATCATGGGTCTTCTGTGCAAAACAGACCATACAGTGCAATTCCAGAGAAATTAAAGTCATTTTGTTTAATTACAGCAGAGGGATGGCACAAAGCACATTAACATTATACCTGTCCCACACTCTCATGGTCAAAGTTGTAGCAATACTCCCTCTCTGCATCACAAAACTATGCCAGTGCTCCTCCGGAGGCCTGTATTTCAACAAACTTGACTATGTGAGTAAAGCAGGGTTCTGACTTTCGCATGCCCCCACCATGTAATTCAGATCCATTTTACATTGAAACATCCTCCTCACACACACCATGAACATAAATTGCCTGAGAAGCTGTGATAGTTACACAGAAAGTCAGGACGAGTAGGAGTTAAATTTGAAGCTTTACATATGACTAAAATGAGATTTCCCATTCATAATTTAGACCCATGCACAAAACCAGTCAAGTCTTTGAAAATCCTGTATATCTGCATCTCTCATTGACATCATCAAACTTAGGGGAGTTTTGCACTTCTGCAATCAGGTCAAATTCAGCTACCTAAATATGTTGCCGGTTTAGAAAGTTTGGCCACAGACTATTCAACCAACAGATTTAGAAATCTGTTTACAGGTGCCGCTCATTTTTGGGAGGTTATACAGCTCCTCATTACTTACTGTGTCCATTGTCAAATGTAAACAGTATTGTCAGTATAACTGTAGGATCGTGTCATCTGAAAAGTTCGGACACATAACACATTTTTTTTTTTAAATTACTAAGAATTATAAAATAAGCATTGCATATGTAATGGTGGTGCAGAGTCCTGTGAGACCAATTGTGTATTATAAAATTAAGTTGAACATTAATTAAGAGTGAATGAATATTTTTGTATGACAAAGCACACTGACTTAAGAATGGAGAGACATGCTATGTGATTTGACAAAGTAAATGCAAAGGAAAATTGTGCATATTTTTAATTAAATAGGGAAAACCTAGGTTGAAAACACAAATGTAAAAAAAAATATAACCGAAACATTTAAGGAGCAAATTTTTGTATTTATGAATACATATATTATATTTTTGTTCCTTCAAAAGAAATTAGATTTTATAACTTAGACTGAAAATATAATTTTAAATTATACTTTTTACTTGAAGTCGCATACTACTGTATAGAACAGCAGATGTTCATTTCTTTGTTATTGATATACAAAAAAAATTAGACAAAAATAAGTATCAAGTGGTCACAGTACAAACTCTAGAGACGAAAGGTAACATTTTTTCAAGAGTATTGAACTATAGCCATAAGCATAGATTATAAAAGCAACTTGGTAAAATAAAGTGAGCAAAACCTCTCATTTTTTTGGGGAATAGGCACACTATAGAGAATATATAATTTGTGAGCTAAAAATGCTAGGTTAATTTATTAATCACTTCAGAAAACCACAGCCCTTCATGTCTTTTTCTAGTAAAGAAGAGAATTTCTCATTACATGTGTTATATAGGGAATAAATTCCATTTTCTGTTCCATGCAGCCATAATCACTTTTCCCCACAGTATCTTACAGCCTATTTCCCTTCAGTTTATAAAGTTTATAACAGTTCCTAAATTTAGATTAGTTTCTTCTAATAGCCCTTTTTCTGTACTTCTAGCCAGGGTTAGCTAGCCTTTCACTCACTAAACTGGTAAGAGTTTTTGCAGGATGATTATTCACAATTTCAGGCTGACAAAATGAAAAGCTTGAGATCCAGAATCTCCAATAACAGTCTGAGCACCGATGAGCTTGACAGGAATAATTAAAATACCCGGTATTTAGACATTGTTTTAATTCAAGTGTCTCAAACTACAGAATAGAGACATAACTTCATCTATCAGTGAAAGGTGGCTTTATGGTAGCACTAACAACTCCTCCATATCCCAACACAAAAAGAGGAATACTCACCTCGCTGAAACTGTAAGAGTCTGCAGTTGCCAAGCAACACTAAACAGCAACATCTGAAATAGTCTGGATGAACTTACAGTGCAAGGCCTGAGCTGAAAGCACCACAAGACCTCAACCACTAGACATGGGGATGAATTTTATCACTAGGTCAGCAGATTTTAAAATCTTCATTTAATATTTTTTGTAAGTGACATTTGCAAGACTACATAGTATCTGCTGAACTGGTGCAAACAATATTATTTACAGCATTGCTAATTCCTTTCCACTGAAACAGATAGTACTGGGTAAGTTGACCAGGAGGCAACATATGATTCCCTTAAAATTGTATTTTAAAACAAAGAGACATTTGGATAGAGAGAAAAATACGTATACTTGTATACAGCCAACAAGGCTGGCTAATATCCCAGGACTGTGGAAACTGGCAGGCACAAGCAGGACTGCTGAGCTAATAAATACAGCAACTCCTCTATGGGTTACTCTGCAGCTACACAGAGTGCCTCACTGCCTCTATGAGCTTGCAGCAGCACAGCTCTGATTCCTGCATCCCTGCCAGATGTTTTTCAGCTGAGCTCAGAACAAATTTCCTGCATAATCAAAGCTTCATCAGCTGGTATCTGTAGAGATCAACCTCTGAAGATTAGGTCAAAATTGGCCTGAGAAGGATGGAAACTAACATCCTATTGCCATGAAACATTTATTTTTCAATAATAAAGAGGCAGAGCATACTCAGATATTTCTTGTTAATCCTGACAAATTAAATTATGTTTGCATCTTCTCTAATAACCTCCAGTGTAAAAAATACTACTAAAAAACTTGTTATTTCTTGGAATTTATATCTCATACAGAAAACTGTCCACTCAAAGTAAAATGATCTCCTGTCTTTCATTCAATAGAGCACTTAGTTATTTTGTCATACTGAGTGAGGGAATTGCATGTGCATAACAAACCTCAAACTGATTCACATCTACAGTGCTCTCAGTCCCTAGGGTCTTCAAGCCAAGGAGCTCAAACCCACTGTAACCCACTTCTCATTACCTAGTCCTGTAATAAGACTATTCCTGCCAATTGGAATGGTTCATTAAAGTGGATGACTGCAAGATTAAGTCTCCTCAAACACATAGCATTTAAAGATAGCGCTTCTTTTACCTTCATTGCAGCACATCATGTCACACTATTGCTTATTTGCTCTCACTTCACTCAACACAGACCTTTTAACACAACTGCTTTGACCACAGAAAATCACCTCTCATTTTTAGATGACTTACTGAAGCTGACAGAAACATTTCCATTTATTAAAAAACAACAACAACAAAAAAAAAGAAAGCAGGCAGTCCCTTAAGGTCACAGCACAGAATAAAGCCCCGCCCCTTAAAGGTTATCAAACTCAGTTCTCTGCAATTCTAGAGAGTGATTTAATACAGAAAAGTTCACAGAACATTTGCCACACATGCACAAAACAATGCAACAAAAAGTTTTGCACAGAAATTGCATGATCACTGCAGAAGCTTTCTGTACAAGAGTTTTCTGTAAAGTAGCTCATAAATAACGTGAAATTCTAGGCTTTGCTATATAGTCTTGTTTTAGGAAACTACATTAAAACTGACACTAAAGGAACATTACAATTGTGTGTTCAGCATGAAAAGAAAAGAAAAAATGCTATAGTGGTATAATCAAATGTTTAACTTTCTCTGCTTGCGTGCATGCATCACAACGCATACATCTAATCATGCGTCATTTATTAAATATAATGTGAAATTTTAAAAAAACTTTTTGAACATCCACTGTTGCACATTGCCCATAAAAAACTTCAGTGGATTCCTTTATAGTACACATAGACTAGCTACCTCACTGCCAGGTATTAAAAGTATTCAAGATTGTAGAAGAAGCATTTAAGAGTAAAGACTCACCCAAGAAGCAATATGAGATCATTTAATAAGTAGTCTATAATGAACCAAAGACACAGGGGGCAAAAACAGAATCATGTGATTTTTGAGAATTTAATCTACTGCCCTAACAGGATGGGTTTTAGCGGTGGAACATGGGAGGCTTTGTCATGGAACCAACCCCAGGGCCAACTCTCATCCAAATACCCTGGGCTGGCAAGGAGAAGGAAAACTGGAGCAAGACCGCAGAACTGTAACTAGCTCCAGTTGCTTCCTGTTCTAATAAGTGTCTTGTGAGCATTTAGGCTGCTAAGCCTTTTAGAGAACTTTTCCTTTCTTGGTGAACTGGTTTCAACTCAACCGAGAAAAATTCCAGAACCGCAATTGATTTGAAAAGGCGATGCAGATAAGTGGCCTCGCCATGGAGAATTTTAACAGACACTAGAGCAGCTGTGAAACAAACACTCAACATTAGCACTGTAGTGTTACCACTAAAAGGTTTCCCATCATTTGTTTTTCTTTATAAAGTAATACCTAAATACTGAAGACTAAGTTTTTAAATGCAGCTCCTAATTTAATATGCAATTACTGCTGCCCTGATGGTGTTTTAATGGCAATATATTTTTATTGGTGACTTCAAATGAACCTCATCTGATCACCTTAACCCTTCTCTCATCATGCTTTAGTTAATGACTCATTACCTGTAGTCACACCAGGGACATCTGTAAGGCTTTTCTCCAGTATGGACACGCTTATGTCGTGTCAGATGCGATTGCGTTGTGGAAGCGAAGTTACACTCATCACATTTAAATGGTTTCTCTCCTAGAAGTTGACAAGAGAATCATTATCAGTTTTCATCAATAGAAAAGGAAGACAAGTTCAAATTTCTGGCATATCCCTTGAGATAGCTTTTATTCTGTATATATACGGCAAACACAAATACAAAATAAATTTCCAAATAAAATGTACTAATTGAAAAATATGATATATACTCATCAGTATCCAGCTCACTTCCCATGTGGTGTTACACAGCAGAAAAAAGGAGGAGAAAGAACTGCACTGAAATAGAGTAACCGTGTTACTGGTCTTATTTCATGAAAATATAACCAGGCATTCTTCTCACCCTGCACCTTCTGTTAAAGTTGGGTCAAGAACAGCCCTGCAAACAACACTGTTGAAGACAGAAGGTGAAAAATCAGGCTAATGCTTGTATTCAGAACTTGCTCAGAAAGGAACATCTCCAGGTAGAAAGCATCTTTGTCTCCAGTCATGGATTTTTAATCTTATCCCTTAAATAACATAAATAAACCAGGACTGAGAATATGAACCAGAACTCAGTGCTCCATTCCCCTCTCTTGCCTGCTAGTCTTCTGCCCTTGTGAATCTTTTCTGAACAGTAGGCCAATTTTCAGCAAAAGGACTTGAAAGGTTAATGAAAAAAAACCCAAACAAAAAACCAACAACCAAACCTAGACTAGGACAATAATATTTTTAGAAGACTAAAATTCAATCTCTGCTGACTGTGCAACTAAACTGAAAATTTCTATGAGATTGCTAATTGAAGAAAACTAAAAATCTCTAGTGTCTAATTTACTATGTGAAAAGAGTACTTTTCCTTCCAGTGGAAGGGTCTACCCCTTAGAAGGTACCAAAATAAAATCTCATGACAGATACACACACTGTGATGCCTAGCTATGAACCTGCATCCCATTTTTCCAACTGGTTGTCCCAGAAATATTCTAGCACATGTAGTTACCATATAGGGAGGAAACAGGTTTCTTTTTGTATGCAAAAGACTAAAGGCAGCTCCTAACTTAGGTGATCTTCTCTGCATTGTGCAAGCCTTCAGAAGTATTTATCCTAGAGATTTCATAAGGATTAAGAAGTCTGGACAAAACTCCAAGGGACAGACATGTACCTTGTAGAATATTCAGCGCTCTACAACTGGTAGTATCAAAATTGAACCCTAAGCCTATTAGCAGGTACAATGTGAAGTTTTTCAGACTGCCAGAAGATATACCACCAGCACAAGACTATCAGTAAAAGTGGCCTTCTGCAATCAGTAATTAAAGGCCACTCCCAAATGGCCATGCCTCCAAGCCAAATTTTTCAAGCCTGTTTATAGCATGAGACACTCAAGACTTCAAAACAAACTTTGCCAGAATATTTGCCAGAGGAGAGAGAGAAATCTGCATTTTTCATTCTTGGAGATTGTTGGGGTTTTCCCTCCCAAGGGAAAAAGATATGCAAGGTCCTCAAGGCCTGAAAAGCCTGTTCTGCTGGACAAAAGGACAACAGAGTAGCTTCTGAAAGCTCCATAAAGACTTGGAATAATTGCTTTTAGCAGTTGCTGGAGAGAATACCAGCTGCTGTTTTTCAGTTATTGTTTCATGGGACAAGGAAAGGTGAAGGGGCAGGGCATAAAGCTGAAGCCTCTACGCTGGACAAATTGAGACTGCTAGAAAGTATGTCTTTCCTGCCCCAAATGGGGTTTTCTTGACAGACTCTGACACTCTGCTCTGGAGAAGCTGATTCTCCCAGCAGCTTGAATGGTACTAGCTACTTCTTCAATTAAACTCTCTGGGAGGCCACAGACTCCCTAGCAACATAACCTGTTCTTGAACTGAAGATTTCTTGTTCTGATTTATTTCATCATCTAGTATTAAAGAAGATAGCAACATTTTGAAGCCTAAATAGAAAAGTCACAGGTATTTTAGATAACATACATATTTATTTTAACTGCTTTCATTTAAAATGCATTAGAACCTCGCCAACTTGCCCCCCTGTAAAAAAGGCAGATCTGAACTGAAAGTAGATTTTTAGTTGGCCATTCAAGGGAGAATGGATCAAGTAAAGGTTTGTTGCTGTGCCACAGCAGGGCCAGTGGGGCTGTGAGCCAAGCAAGTGCCCATTGAAGCCAGGAGGTCTTGCAAATTCCATCGAGACCATAAGAAAAATTATAATCCTTGCCCACTGCTCCAGGAAGTTTCTCCTTAGGAAAGCTTTGAGGCTAACTGCTCCTTTCAAGTGGACTATGTGTAAATCTCACCTGACAGAAAATACATCACAGCAGCACCACAAAACAAAAGCCAACCAAATCAGGAGGAAAAAAGATGGTTTAACATAGCCTGTAAGTCTTAGTAGTTGCACATGGGAAACAGTATCTTTATGGAAAATTAACCAGGTTGATAAGTACAGCTGAAAAAATCTAAGAGACAACTAGGTATTTCCTGTGGTTGGGGGATGTTGAAGACTATATTATCTGTAGCAGGAGTACTTTTATTTATTTGTTTATTTATTAAAGTTTTCCACAGACCTACTCATTCAAGTATTTTTTGGCTTCCCTATCTTTGGGCCAGAATGCTTCTTGTAAGCTTTTGTGCTCCAATTTTCCTTCCACTCTTCATGCCTTCAGACATTTCAGGCAATAAAAATATTTTTTTTAATATGGGCTGCCACTAAAAATTCCAGGACTCTTCTTTACCTCCAAACAAGTTTCTAATTCATACAAAATTAAAATAACACAAAAAAATTCAATATTGACAATATTTTTTAAACAATAAAAACCATATGTAAAAACTATAAAATAGTATCCAAAAATGTACAAGGACAAAATTTACTTATTTAAAGATCAATAAAGCTAAAAAAACCCAAACCACCCTACCCTCCCATTACTATTACAGAAGACTTGTCTGTGCCTCACCATGAAAAAAACCCGATAGGTGCCCCAAAACGACCCAATGGTCAAGAAGCTGTGTGTGTGGGGGGGAAACGTAAGGATATACATTCCAAGATCAAGGACCCACTTTCTGGGCCTTTATTTTGTTTTTAAATACAAGTACTTTCAAAAAGCTCCATTTCCTGACCATGGATCACAGAAGAAGTGGGTTTGCATTTTTGACAATACTGCAACCAACTTCTGAAATGTGTCAGTTGTTTAAGTCACCTAACATGAAAAATCTGAGCTCCAACAATCAAAGTTTGTGAAAGCAAATGATAAAAGGGTCAGTTCATGGTGCGCACCAGACTATAAAAGCATTTATTAAAGCTGCTGCTAACCAGTAAGCCTCGTCAGCTCTACCCATTCTGTTCTTCTTAAACCATGACCGAAGTTTTCTTTTTCTCTTGCCACTAGACAATTTCTTTGAGGTAGGGAGAGAGTTTTTAAAAAAACAGGTTTTTGGCGTCTTTTCTGGTCAAAGGTTTGCTATAATCAAGTTCCACATTCTGCTACAAATGTTGGCATAAATGGAAAAGAAAAGCAACAGAGATGCTCTTCAAATTTCACCTCTTCCCTTGCTGAAAAGAGCAATAAGTCTCCTTATTGTGCTACATTTTCTGTAGTATTCAACATTATAATTTTTTTAAGCTGTGGTGGGGAAGTTGAAGAGAAGAGGCTACATTTTACATTAAATTCAATGCCGAGTAATATAACTACACATTAAAGTAAAAGAGCAGTTCACATGAGAAATAGAAACACAAAGTGAGTCACTCATCTGGATAAAAACACATATACTATTAAATTTTCTTTCTTTATTACATTGACCTATAAATGTCTTGAGAAGCACAAGATTGAAATGAGTGAGCAGAAGTAATCATACAAACAGTGATCTGTACGATATAAGCTACCATCTTCAAAAATTCATGAAAATATTTGAACAAAGACACGATCTTCTTAAGCAGCTCCATAAGCTCATGGTGACTGCCATGCAAGTGCTGTACTTAGTGTACAGTAGGTGTACTTACCTGCTAACACCCTACTGCTGTAATGTAATTCTGTCATGACCAGGAAGATCCCACCACAACCAACACATGAGAAGCAAATGTAGACTGTCATTGTGTAGAAGATGAGGATGGGGTTTTTGCAATTTGCAGGAGTACTAACCAACATTAAAAAAGGGATTTCATACAAGAGAACACAGGCTGTTACTGATCAGCACTCTTGGACTGAGCCAGCTACTACAGCACAAACTGGAAGCAATATGTTGAAGAATGGAAAACTAGAGTGATACCAAAAGACAAACAAAGGAGGAGAACAGAACAATAAGAACACAAAAAAAAGATATTTTAAAATTATTAAGTGTTTCCATGTTTGCATTTCAAGCCAGAAATAATTACGCTTTTTTGTTTTTTCTCTCTTATGTAATTTCCTAGTTGATCATGAT